TTGCACTGTATGCTTCCACGAAAGCCGAGAATGTTTCTGAGTGTTCTCAGAGGGTCTGCCGGGGTAATAATAGTTATAAAGTGCATAGAGCATGCTCTTGAGCATGGATATGCGCTATATAAATGCAATTATTATTATTATTATTTTTTAAAAATTACGGATGACTTTTTTTAGAGTGGCATCGGTGGCCTAGTGTTTAGGTTACCGAACCCGTAAAGCTAATCGTGAGATTGCGGGCTCAGGTGGTTGGAGCGTCAGCTCGGTCAGACGTTGTGTCCTTGGGAAAAGCACTTTGCACGAGGTTCCCATTGCTCGGTCCTTTCGGAGATGGGCGTTTGTTCCGGACATTCCTGCCTCTTAGATAGCCACAGTGTTGATAGGGACGTTAGACGTCTTCCTTTTCACTGTTTAAAAAAACCCAACAATTTTTAGGGAGTTTTATTTTGTCATCAGCATTCCAGCAAACGAATAGCATTAATTCTCATTAAGGGCTTGGGTTCTGTCAAGCTATTAAAACATTAAGTAAAAGTCCCAGTGAATGGGGTTTTAAACTGCTGAAGTGAATTGTATAATTCGTTTAGACATAATTTGTTCTGTAAAGTAGACAAATCTTCACCATACAGCCCAAACGAATATAAAATAATATTTGCAGGAACGTTTCAAAGTACTTGACGGTGCTTTGAGAAGAGCACACATACCTCACCCAAGACTTGAGTATATAGGAGTCAATGTACTCACCTGCGTCACCACTCCTCCATGCACGGTACACGTTAATACCAACAGCGCAAAGATTGCACGTGAAAAGTCCATCATGGTTCTGCTTCTCTTGTCTGTCGGATAAAAATAGACTAGTATCAGTGAACCGTCTGCAAGCGCAAAAGGAACACTTTGGTATGGATCTAGATTAATTTGGAGAGGCTCACATTCAATGGAAGCCATGTGTGTTTGTTGTTTTTCTTGTTCTTTCTATATTGTAGAGAAATACAAATAAAAAGAAAAGAAATGTTGTGAGGTTTGGCAAGGTGAGCCTCACCGTCTGTTTTTTAATGTGTCATGATCCTGTCGAAAAATAAGATAGGGTAGATGAATTCTTATATACAGGCGATCAAAAGAAGGGTAACGAGAGTAATATAGTGGAAGAAAGATAATGGTTCCCTAAGAGTTATATTTCCCAGATTTAGCGTTCGAGTGTAATCCAGGAATATAAATAAAATCAGTTGTTACAGAAGGATCAGGCAACGCAAAATAAGCCTTTCTATTTAACATTGGTGTCAACCGTTCATTTCCTCAGCTGATAGGAATGTCACACCTTTTTACGATTTATTTTTTTTGCAGCGCAGACGCAGATAAATAATTTGTTTGTTTTTTCTGCTTGTGAGTTTTTTTGTGTTTTTTTATTGTTTTGTTCTCGTTTCATTGTACCCTGTATCTAAGTGCACATCTCCATAACGCTGTTGGTAGAGAAACCTCAAAGGATGTAGAGGATATCCCCAAATGGAAAAACAACAACATAGTTTTCAACAAAACAAGACAATTTTTATCTTTTACAATCAGCCCCTTCCTTTCGTTTACCCCTTCCTACAGAATTTTCTTTTTAAAGACAAAACAAAAACAAAACAAAATAGACACAAAGAGGTTTTTGCTTCCTAATTAATTTTGAACTCAGTGACAGCTTCCCGGTGTCAGTCTCCACCACGATACGCACCACGGATACTTATCTGACCAGCGTTGTTTTCCACTGTGTCTCTAGAGAGCTCTAAAATAATTAAAAACTACTATTACATCTTAAAAAGGAAGACTCTGACTGGACAAAAACTATATTTTACACATTTCTACTGTCACGAACCTCATGCTTTCTAACACTACCATCAGTGGACGAAATAATTATGATAATATATCGACGAACATCCTACAACAAATAAATAACAAGATGATATTTGTCAAAAAGACGAAGCAGTGGAAACAGCTGAACAGTTTTACCTTCTTCCAGGATAAGGATTAACTAATAAATGAGGACATGAAGAAGCAAGTTCTGTGTGACATATATATACAAGATGGAGTTGGTAACACATGTTACAAGCACGGTTTATGATTACCAACCTTGAGACTCTCTCAAAAGGCCAATGGGAAAGATAAAAGATATCTTTTGAATACATGAGAACCGGAGACGATATTTTGTGTGTTTTTTGTTGTTGTTGGTTGGGTTGTTTTTTTTACCTTTCTGCTGCCGAGCAAAAAGAAAGTATACTCGTTAATTTTCGTTAATAATCTACTCATAAGTTTGTGAACACTAACTTGGTACAAAAGGGCTTTGCAAAAGCAAACCATTCACAAAAAGCATGCACCTGAAACCCCTGCAGGATGTATTTGATTTCAGATTTGGGTGATGGACCAAAACTTCCTTTTCTTTCCAGGCACATTGTCAGTGTGCCTTAAGCCGATACCCATATTACCCATAATATGAGAAGCAAATTGCAATTGGGAAAAATATGCAAGTATTGCAAAAGTCTGTTTACTTACACATTTCTGTATTACGATGTCAGTTAAGTAAGTAACGGTATAAATATCTGGGTAATGAAATTCTTGTTAAGGATAGCATATTGCCATTTGGAAAAACAAGTTGTTTATGCCATAATGATCACATTTTAGTGAAAGATATGAACCCCCCCCCCCCAATTCCCATTCCTTCCTCCCCCTTTATTTTCTTAAACACAAAGCGTCAGGTCTATGGATCGGTAGGACCTCACATATTTTATTTTTTTTAAAGCTAGACCCCGTACAAAACCAAGGACTCTGCCTCTCCCTAGTGCTTTCCACACTTCTCCACAGGACAGCCTCCAGGCCTAGACCAACATACCACCCCTAACATTCAGACAAACACGCCTTTAACTACAACAGTACGCAATTAAACAGAGGTCAACACGGGCCAACCAAGCACACGACTGTATTTTTAAAACCCATCCAGATACAGTAAACAAACAACAACGACAAACTCAGATAAGCTTTCGGTCAGTTTCCTTGAGGACCTAAAAAACATAGAATTTTCTATTAAAGACATAGACCAATATCCCCCCCCCCCGACCTTCCTCCGTGGCCCCTCATTGACCACACACAAGAAATTATGCACAAATACACAAACATTCCAAACCCCATGCAAGCCACTCATCGAACAGTATCCCAATGCAGAGAAAATCTTCACCGTGAATCTAAATCGGATGTAGCTATCGGGGTAAAACAGTTGTAATAATTACAATGCAGGGAATGATTAGGAACGCCAGCATTAAGACTAATTATGTTCATGTTATCTTGAAAGCCTTTGAAATAATATTATAGTGGCGTCGGTAGCATAGTGGTTAGGCTACCAGACTCGTAATCATAAGGTTGTGAGTTCGGGGGTTCGAGCCTCAGCTCGGTCCGACATTGCGTCTTTGGGAAAGGCACTTTACACGAAATTCCCATTTGGCTGGGTCGTTTCAGAGATGGACGTTATACCATTTCCCCATTTTAAACGAAAAAAAATTATAATAATTCGTGTATACGTGCAGGGGCTACATTTAGGTTTACCCTCTAAGTTAAGAAATTTAGAATTTTAAAGAACTGTTTGAAGACACTAAAATGTTTAGAATGATTATTACCTCTCTTTAAAAAAAAAAATAACACCTCCTTCGATTCTGAAAGAATTTTGTTACTTGTTCTAAAATTCGATATAGGATTATTTTCCTACCCCTGGGAATTTACTCAGTCAGTCTCGGTAGCTGCTAGGAATGCCACTCCTTTTTACCCTTCTAAAAACCATGTCAGAACAGAAATGTTCAAAGTAATGACTTTCTCGTTTATAAAAAATAAAAGCATTATATCAACGAATTATATCACGACAACACAGTACAAAAAATCTAACGCAGCCATATTTCAAATATATATATATATATATATATATATATATATATATATAAATCGTGTGTTTGGAAAAAGGTTCTAAATGTAAATTATTGTCCACCGTCTGGCATTTTAAAAAAGTTGTTAGGTTAGAGGAAGTCCCCTTGCGCTACCCACTGGGGGACTGTGCAGTTCCCTAGCGCTGCTTTGTGCACTGGGGGACTGCAAAGAAACAACCTTTGACCTTTGGAACGAGGTCAACAAGCCATCATTAGACAGATCTTGATCCTACTGATACATAACTAGATTTAGACCTAGATCTAGATCTAGTTAAATTAATTAGTATTGTTGGAGAATCTAGATCTAGAGCAAATTTCTGTTTATTTAAGGTGAATTTATCATTCATGTCGACAGTTTTGTTGATCTATCTTGATATAGTTCTAGATTCTAGATCTGCAGCTAATAGTACTTATGACATAGACTGTAGACTACACTACATGGTAGGTCTACTCTTCTTCAATTTGAAAATTCGCAGTCTCTTTCTATAATATCTAGGCTTAGATCTAGATCTAGTAGCAGGCCTAGTATAAGTATTACCAAAGATTCTCCTCTTCCAAGGTATTGCAATCCTTCTTTGGGCTTTTGTCCCACGCCGTCGCGGGCCCGCTTTGCTGACGTCACTAGGCGACGCGAGGTTGGTTTCATCGCCCACTGCTAACTTTACTAACAACGTTCTTCTTTTATTGGTTGTGTCATATCTCACTTTGTCGCGTGCACAAAAAATACAAAGCATCATTTCCTTTCTTTTGTAGGTTTTTTTTTCTTTCAATAAATGAACTGGATTTGCTCTAAACATCACCACTTAGCTGTTGAGAGGAAGAAAAAGGGTTTAATTTTTAAACTGGTTTCTTTATTTTACTCCTAACTGTATGTCAAGGTTGGGACACAGGTAAGCGCAACAGCGCCATTGGGATTCTCATCGTTACGACATGTTTTAATGTTTAACAAAGGACTATTGGACGGGCTCTCGTGGTTGAGAGGTTACGATTTTAGCCTGTCATTCTGTAAGTCCCGGGTTCGAATCCGGATAGCGACGGAAAATATTCTTCTTTCAAATTTTATCTATTCCTTCTCTCTAACAATTTTTGGCGTCTGCTTTCTTCTCCACTTTTTGCCCCACCCCTTCACCTCGTTTGGCCCCTCCTCTGGGCTCCTGACTCTTTCTGCCGCCTTTCTACTGCTACTCCTTGGCTCCTTCTTACTGCTGTCTTTCAGACACACCTAACCTTTTCGGACAAGGGCGAAAAATGTCGGAGGGCTCGTGTTCAAGTTGCGCACGTTAAAGATCCATTGGTGGTCTATAATCGATAAGAGTAGGCTTCGGCTGCCAAACCTGCAAAATTCAAAATTGTCTACCAACCGAAAAAGTTTAAATCGTCCCAAGTGCTCAAATGACCTTAAGCAGTTGCGAGCACCGTAAAACACTAACCAATAAAAAACCCCATAAAATAATTAAATAACAAAAAAAAAACATGAACGAGGCACCCAATGGTCAAAATCCCACAGCAAGATCGGCATATTCGTATTCGCCACTTAAGAGATCGTTTTCTTCCTGCCACTTAACAGCCAGAGACCTGGTAGAAAAATAGATTGCAGGGTGTACACTAACCATCGGGTCAACAATGCACAACAAATTTATAATGCATTGCTCACAGAATGGAATGACATACCACTGAGAATCATTTCAGGTCCAAATCGATCAATACGGTGTCGAGTATTCGCCACCATCTCAGCACAAGGCGACAACAGGGTGGAGATTATTACTAGGATGAACTTTGTACGATATAAACACATGAACTCAGATAAGACCACGTCTTTTGTTCAATATAGGTTGGTAATGTGCTTTTTGTACTTCTGTGTAAACTCCTCTGATAACCCCAGCCATCGTTTTCATTTACTAGAATTGAGTATGATATGCAATTCCCAAGTCCAGGAAAACTCATAGGGGATTTAAATCACCATAATATGGTATTGGTATTGGTATTGGTAGTTGGAAATCATAGCGTATCGATACTATCAAAACGTGTGTGGCTATCAAAGATTGTACATAACAAGATAGTTCAATTGGCCAAAAAAAAGAGTCCGCGGAAGTCCGCGCATTGGTTCAGATGTCGCTGCAGTCTTTGTTTAGAAGCTCTGGCTTAAACAGCACCTGGACATGGATGGTTGGTGCCTCTATAAATAAATCATTGATGGTCATGGTTTTGAAGCTCTCTTTTATTTCTCCAGAAGAAGAAAAGGAATGGCACCCCCTTGCGCATCAACTGTTCTGGTTCGCTCAGGGTAGAGTTTTGGGTTTATTTTATTTT